CCGACCAGTCCTGAGAGCCTTTTGGAAGCGGGCCAGGAGGCCGGGGCAGGCTGGGGTCAGCTCCCCAAACCGGGTCGGAGCGAGGCGTCTTCTGGTCCTGGCAGTGTCCGCACCTCCCCGGCCTACAGTCCGCCGCAGCCTCTGCGCATGCCCGGCTCGAGGGCGACCCGCATCCCCCAACGCCCCACCTCTCAGGGTGGCTTTTTTTTCTTTCATTTTCTGAAGGTCGGGGTGAAAGGGTTTCTGGGAACTGCTAGGTTCTGGGCCTTGCGAGCAGATAGGCCAAAGGGTCGAAACGGACTCTGCGGAGCGGTCCTGAAGTGGGAGGATAGAGAAGGAGCTGGTCGGGTACCTGCCTAGTGGAGCCGTGAGGAGTGGGAAGCTGGGAAAGCTGGGGGGAGAGTTGAAATGCAAAAGTGCTCGCAGTTAGGGCGACTCTCGTCCCCTGTGCACCCAGCAGTCGTGGATGGGTTAGGACTGTCTGACGAAAAATTAATTTTTCTACCTTTCAGCAGCCCCGGTTGATTTTTCTTGGGCTGCTGACATTCCCTTCAGATTTAACCTATATTCAGCACCTCTGAGCATCTTATTATCTCTCTCAAAGGGTCTCTTTAAAAACTTCGCTGGAGTTAATAAAGTATACTTGTAGAGAGTGTGCATATGTTAGATAACTGACAGTATCAAGAACATTTGTATAATGCTTTACTGTTTTTAAAGTTAAATCTTGAAACAACCTGTGAGGTAGCAGTTATTTTTAATCCCCTTTTACAAACGAGGAAACAAACCTGTAGAAATTTGTTGACATATTAAGAATTACACAGCTAGAAAGCGTGCCTTTTCTGCAACTACTAGCTATTTGAATAAGATCGACATTTTTGTGAGATCATGGTGTGATTATGAACGTAGTAAATGCAATAAACAAGTACTGTGTGAGAACAAATGCATTCCACCGTATATATGCACTGTCTGTTTGGGGCCCTGATTGTGCGAGTCATGGGGAATATGCTTGAACTTTGCTCTCTCAAATCTGTGTTCATGTATCCTTTCAGATCAGCTCTAGCCTCATGTTGTCCTGAATGGAGGATTCATTGCAATAAAGATTTCCACAGTAGTCTGAAGACCTTTAGAAACATAAAAGATAGAGTTAGAAACACAAAGGACACTCTGAGAAATAGCCGTAGCCAAGGTTTGCAATGGCGATGAAGGGTGGTTCCCTTCACCATTAGCTCTAAGTACTTTCCACAGTTCTAACTTCGGCTGCTAAGTATGATCAGGAATATCTACTCTGATGCAGATCTTACCCTGGATGCTTTGTACATATAAAGGGGCATTCGAGTAAAGGAGAGAAAGGAAGGAAGAGAAGTTCTGCTCAAAGTGTTTCTGCATTTGCTCTGAAGCAAGAGAATTGAACTCTAATTGCAGAAGAATGGGAGGGCCATTCATTTCTCTAACTTCCTCCCTTCCAACAGACTTGAACAGGAGAGCAAACAGCACACTTCAAAAACTTGTTCATATAATTGGTTGATTTTATTCCCTAATATCTTCTCTGACCAGTCACCAGCATTCCGTCCTGGGAAAAACAAACAACCAAACAAACATACCTTGATTATGGTGGTTAAGAAGTGAAGGAAGGGTAGAAGCTGGAGATTCCAAACACAGTTTAGAGACCGCTCAACATAACAAGCCAGCCTCCCCAAACATTTTGTTTGACTTTTCTCCACTGTTTTATTCTGTTAGAGTTCATCATACCCAATTTGAAATTACCTTGAGTTAGTAAGCATTCTCTTTTAAAGAAAATATTTCTCAAAGGGTTAAGAAGTCTCATTGCCCTCAGATTCTATATACTGGTACCATTATGAGCACTTTACATTCCCACAGCAACCTGATGAAGTGGATATTACCGTTATCATCCCTATTTGATAATAAGGAAGCCAAGGCCGAAGAGGTTAAGAAACTTGCTCAAGGTCACAGGGCCAGTAGTGGTGGACTAGAATTTGAAACAAGCAGTGTGGTACATAACCACTACACTGCATTGTCTACTAAAAATTATTAAAAATATCATCGCAAGAACAGCTTCAGATTTACTGAATGATCTCTATGGACATTTAGGTCGTTCCTAAATATCACAATTAAAACAGCCCATCTACATTTCAGGTTAGGAACTGGCTATGTTAAATATAAAATGAAAATAGGGAGAGAGGTTTTATTTCTGAAACAAGTCATGTGTTGTACATAATTTTAGACAATAAGATGAGGAAATTTGTTTATTTTAAAATTAGGTACTTGAAAGAACTACTTAATAACCATATCTGTAAATTCTTTAATATTTCGAGCCCTTCCTTCCCATAATCATCTAACTTTAGATTAGAGATTAGAGAAGTATAAAATGATAAGTAAGACTAGACTGACTGATTGAACTTTGTATTCTTAAGAAGTTCTGAGTTTTAGTTTTTTTAGCTTGTTAAAGCATTTAGTGAAGAGGACCAGTTAGAAATTATGAGATGTGGGTTTTAGTCTTTGCTGTGTCAGTCTTCAGACTCTGACCTTGCTGGACATTATTTTCCACATCTGGAAAATATGGTAATTAGGCTGAACACTAAGGCTCTATAGCTCTAAATTTCTTTGACGCTAAGACTCCGGTTCATTAGAGCAAATATCTGGCTTGGTGAATGCAGTCTATCACTAACCCCATCTACTGGCAGAAAAATTAACATTGCCCAGCACTATGTGCCTTACGGGTGCACTAGCTTCTCGTTTTGCTGCTAGACACTTGTTCAAACAAGAACATGAATTCATCCTTTTCTGTTGAGACATTTAATTGTTCAGAATCCTCACATATGAGCCTTTTTAAACCTGCATGCTTCGCTGAAAAAGCGCACGAGTTTAGGAAAGAGGGAGAAGGGAGACTGATCAGCAAATAAGGTAAGATGTTACTGGTAAATTTAGAATCCGGGTCGCCGTACACTTAGATAGTGTTCTTCCCATAGCCTTACATGACTCGTTCATTCATTATTTTAAAAATATTTTAAATCTATATTTTATATATATATTTTTGGAATAGAAAATACATTCACATGATTTAAAACCTCAAAAGTCATGAAAGGGTTTACAGTGAAAATCTTTTCGTACATACACATACACACACACATTCTCTTCCTTAGATATCCAGTTCCCCATCTTTGCAGGCAAACAATGCTGTCTGAAATACATATATCCTTCCAAAAGCATTTTATGCCTGTACAAGAAAATACATATGTAGATATTCCTCTTCTCTTTATATGAATGGTAGCATACTCTTCACACTGCTTTGCACCTTGATTTTTTTTACTTAACGTTTGAAATAATTCCATATTGTTACGTAAAGAGCATCCTCAATTTTTATGTCTATATAATATTTTGTAAAATGGGTATATCATAATTTATTTAACCAGTCACATAATGGTGGACATGCAGGTTTTTCCAGCCTTTTGATATATCAAAGGATGCTGCTGTCAATACCTTGTAAATATGTCATTTTCACATGTTTGAATGTATCTAATAGGATAAATCTTTTCAAAAGGAATTTTCTGGGTTTAATACATTTGTAGTTTTGATAAGTATTGCAAAACTGCAGTTCAGTAGTTTGTATCAGTCTACATTCCTACCAACAACATATAATATTTGCTTATTTTTCAATATTCTTTTTAAAAGTTATATTTCACATACCATAGAATTCACTATTTTAAGTGTTTAATCCATTGGTTTTTCATGTAGCCACACAGTTGTGCAATCATCACCACTATCTAATTCCAGAACATTTCCAGCACCCCTAAAACAAACCCCATAGCCATTAGCAGTCACTCCACAGCCCCTGACAACCGCTATTCTACTTTCTCTCTTTTTAGATTTGTCTATTCTGGATATTTCATATAAATGCAATCATACAAAAGATGTCCTTTTATCCATATTGTGGCCTGTATCATTCCTTTTTATGACCAAGTAATATTCCATAGAATGGATATACAAACATGTTATTTTCCCATTCATCAGTTGGTTGACATTGGATCGTTCTACTTCTAGGTAATTAATATGAATGAGGCTGCTGTGAACATCCAGGTACAAATTTTATATGAACTTTTTTTTAGTACTCTCAAGTATATATCTAGGAGTGGAATACTAGATCATATAGCAGCTGTATGTTTAATACTTTTTTTTCTTAATTTTTTTAAAAAAAATTTCACCTCTCATAGTTGGATTTCTTTCTGTCACCATGTATTTGACCCCTTTTACCCTATCTCCCTCCTCCCACCCTCTGGTAACCACTAGTCTATTGTCCATGAGTTTCTATTTATTCGTCTTGTTCATTTGTTTCTTTTAGGTTTATATCCCACATATAAGTGATATCATGTGATTTTCAGCTTTTTCTGTCTGGCTTATTTTGCTTAGCATGATTATCTCAAGGTCCATCCACATTATTGCAAGTGGCAGTATTTCAT